GAATGAGGGACGGAGGAGAATAAAAGGAGGGAGACGAGGGGCAGGGTGTCAGGAGACCGCGACCGAGAGAGAGAGCGACAGATACAATAGATCAGCGAGAGACTCTAGTACCAATAGCCAGGGGAAGAACGAGCACATCGACAAGGGTGACTAAAAGAGAAAGTATTAAATCTAGCTCCCTCTCCTCTCTCTCTCATCTCATTCATACCCTTCTCTCCATCCTCTATCCTCTCAATCTCTCTCTCTCCAATTCTCACTCTCCTCTCTTCCCTCTTCTCTCTCTCTCCCTCTCCCTCTCTCTCCCTCTCCCTCTCCCTCTCCCTTTCCTCCCACACATAATGAGACTATTCCATAAACTCACACACACTAAAACATTACACCAAATGACGATGCACCAAAACACAACGCTCACATGATCTAGCGCAATGACGGTACTATATACCAAACATGCGGTGAAATCTCGGCGACATTATTTAACCAACAGAACACCTCCAAACCATACCATTCTCTGACCTTTGCACATTGCCACATGACATATGCATGCGCAGACCAAGGTTTCTATTTACTTATTATTCCACGAGATAATAGTAATTCTTCGTAGACTTCATCAACACATTCCTTGAATTCTTGTGGGTGTGGCTCTGCAGAACAGTGGTAACCCTGTTAGGTATAAGGCAACGGTGCAGAAGAGTGCAGTGGAGGACTGTCTCCGTTTCCTGTACTTTGGACCCACGTGTGCTGGGAAGACCGCACGTTTCTCGGAAATTGCAGAGTGTCGTGGGTTCGAATCACGACCCAGGGCAGTTCTTTTAAAAAAGAAAGAGTCGTCCTGGGTGCATCTAGTTGTGGGGGTTCCTTTGGTTCCACGGAACCCCCCTTTTTGTCGTTTTGTGCGCATGCATCGCCGGCCTCGCGCGCACTAGCACAGTCGAAAACGTTCTGGACAGCGGAGACCCCCCTTTCAAAATCAAAATCCTAGATCCGCCCCACTGTGTTGTTTAGTGACTTGCAGTCTTGTAGTAGTCGAGACATGCACTAGCCTGGGTACGAAGCTTTGACGATCAATTTCATGTTAAGTTTCTATATATGCACATTTGAAACGGCCTCGAATTCATATTAGCAGCTAGTCATTATGAAAGTTGGCAAGTTGCCTGCAAATGGAGTAACAATGGAGCTAGCCTCCTTTCTGCAAATATTTGGAGCCTATTTACAAACTTGGTCACTCACTCCAGCTTCCTGGGTGGTTATTCCAAGAACAGGAAGAAGGGGCAACATTATGGGCAAGCAGACACTAAAATACCATCAACTTGTATCTACAATTCCCACACCCACTCACTGCCTCTTATGCCTCGTTCCACCTCTCTGATCTCCCTTCCCTTTCTCTTCTTCTCTCTCTCTTCCCCCTTCTCCCTTCCACATTCCCCTCCTCCCTCCTTTCTCTCTTCCTCCTTTCTCTCTTCTCTCGTTCTTGGATGGACATCTCCTGAAATGAGGGCACCTCTTTAAAAAGGCATCTTCTTTTCCCCATGAACAGGATGGCAACCTTTTTAACACGTCTCATGTCTCCCTCTCTTTTAACCCTTTCCCCCCTCCCCCCTCTCCCCATTTCTCCCAAGACATGGACACAACACGGCACCGTAAACACGCTCCCATCTGTCTCTTTATTTACCATTCCATTTCCTCACTCCTCACGAACACACACCCATCTGTCACACACCCATATCACCCGCAAACCAAACCAACATCTCTCTCTACCAAATCTGAATTAGGTTTAACAACACTCAGCACCACATGCTCCGTGATATCTTAGCCTTTTCCTCTTCAGATAGCAGCTGCTGTCGATTACATTGGCTGTTTTCAGTTAAGAGGTCCTCAGCTGTTGGCGCTAAGTACCAATCGATTTGGAAATAACAACTGTTTGTTTAATACGCGACGACGATATTCGCGACTCGGAAAGATAAATTTTGGGAGTCAGGTTATGCACTGTTGCTGCCGTGACAACTACAGTGGAACTGGGCTAATCCAGACACAAATGGGACAGAAGAAAGTGTCCATATTAGTGAGGTGTCCTTATTTCAGGGGTTAAATTGCATGCAAGAACTGCTCTTTGGGAAAGAAAAGGTGTCCTTATTAGAGAGGTGTCCTCATTTCAGGGGTGTCCTTAGAGAGAGGAGTTCCACTGCATACACTATTGTTGTGTGACGATATTTGCACCTCAGAAACTAAATTTCAAAAGAGCTCTTATAATTGTGTATATTTTACATAACGTATTATTACTGCTGGTGCTTTAAATACGATACACATGACTGGAAGCTGGTCAACAATGTGGCATGTCAACGAGAAACAGTTTATGGGTCACCGAGCGACTTCGCTGTAATCCTCTCGCCACGACAACGACCTGTGACCTATCAGAGAGCGGGGAGTATGCGCGGAGCTATGAGGCGTGTCGAGATCAAAGACAAGGCGGCTGTGGTGAGTCTGACGGGTAATTGAGTCTGCAATTCAGTGCACGTGTTGTTTGAGGGAAAAGTTAGACTCCTGAATGACTGTGGAATTACGTTTACAGAGCTAACAGGACAGCTTTGACCGTGTCCTGAATGACTGTGGAACTATGTTTACAGAGCTAACAGGACAGCTTTGACCGTGTCCTGAATGACTGTGGAACTACTGGTATGTTTACAGAGCTAACAGGACAGCTTTGACCGTGTCCTGAATGACTGTGGAACTACGTTTACAGAGCTAACAGGACAGCTTTGACCGTGTCCTGAATGACTGTGGAACTATGTTTACAGAGCTAACAGGACAGCTTTGACCGTGTCCTGAATGACTGTGGAACTACTGGTATGTTTACAGAGCTAACAGGACAGCTTTAGCCGTGTCCTGAATGACGCGGCATAGCATATAGGGACAACTTTTCTTTCCCAAGAACAGTTCTTGCATGCAATTTAACCCCTGAAATAAGGACACCTTTTCTTTCCCCAAGAACAGTTCTTGCATGCAATTTAACCCCTGAAATAAGGACACCTCACTAATAAGGACATCTTTTCTTTCCCCAAGAACAGTTTTTGCATGCAATCCAACCCCTGAAATAAGGACACCTCACTAATAAGGACATCTTTTCTTTCCCCAAGAACAGTTCTTGCATGCAATTTAACCCCTGAAATGAGATTAATGCAAGGCGAATATACAGTGGAACTCAGACACCAGTGGGACAGAAGAAAGTGTCCATATTAGTGAGGTGTCCTCATTTCTGGGGTTATCCGCGTTTAATCTGAGACACCCTCAGCTGAAGACGCGGGCAGAAGAGAGGGGGGTAGGAGGAAAGACTCACCAGTTGGATATGGGTGATGTGTTTCTTCCACCACAGGTATTTCTGGACGCTGGGTCCGAGGCAACTGAGGGCGTAGTAGGTGTACATCACCACGTGAACCACTGTGTTTATTAGAGCTCCCAGCACAGCTGTGGGGAATAGGGGAGGGGTTACTAAGATTAGCAAACGTTACTAATAATAGAGCAAACCGCCACCCAAATAATGGTAATAATGGCATCAAGTAACCGATAAACAATGCTAAACACCACAGGTGTTAAAGTCACTAAACGCAAGCAAATTTTGTTGGCTGGGGACTTTATACATGTAGGAATATGTGACTATTTGTGAAGCATAGATATTAACATTGATGATGTAATGGTTCGTAATATTGATGATGTAATGATTCGTAATATTGATGATGTAATGATCAGTAACATTGGGCTAAAAATAGCTCACATTGTCCTCCGGCGACCCATTTAACCCCGATCCACCAGAGGAGGAACATGGAGGTGTGGTGATAGACGTGGAGAAACGTCACCTGGCTGTCCTTCTTCCTCAGAATGAAGAACACCTGCGGCGACGTGTGGAGGGAAAGCCGGGTCATTTGGGGTTAAAAACTGGTTGTTGAAGGGTTTTAATGTCGGTTCAGTAAAGCTGGCTGATTTGGGGTTAAAGCCGGTTCTTGAGGGGTTAATGTCGGCTCAATGATGTGTAGGAAAAGCGGATCAATTGGGGTTAAAAAAAACCGGTTCTTGAAGGGTTAATGTCGTTTCAGTAAAGCTGGCTGATTTGGGCTTCATAAACAGGATTATACAAAAAGTTGCACTCTACACTGCTTGCTTTGCTTGAAATTTTGCAACTTGCACTGCATGTGCAAAATGTAAACTTACAGTGTCTAGGAATTCGATGCATTTGGACATGTAGTACCACCACAGAGCTCTAGCTATCTGGAGGTAGGGGGAGAGAGAGAGACATGAATAGCATGTCTCAACAACTTGGTAACGAGGTAGAAAGGCAAGGCAAGGCAAACAAGTCGACTAGAGCAAGAGAAAGAGAGTGAGGTGGAGTACATGATAAAGAAGGAGGAGAGAAAGGAAAGGAAGATGAGGGAGGGAGGGAGGGAAGAAATGAATAAAAGGAGAAAGGTTAGAGGCAGACAAAATGTTGAAAGGTGAAGGATTTAAACCACCTTCATCTGAGAAGGGTGATAGGAGTACGCCATGGGTGTGCAGATCCAGTTGTACCAGCACCAAACATACCCTCTATCATCTGTGCAGAGGGAGAAGAAGGAGGGAGAGGAGATAGAACACTAGTAGACAGAGAGTCCTGATATTTAAAAGCCTTAGAGCCTTTCTTCTACCATTAATAGCAACACTATACATAAAGCACATGAGTGCTTATAACAGACACATACTTTATTATCTCTTTCATATTCCTAACTGCGTAACTTAGCAAATGATACTTTTTTAAAAGAGTACCGGTATGTTTTTGGGAAGGGGAGAGAAAGGAGAAGAAGTATATAGGTTGGCAGTAAAGGAGTGCGAGGAGAAAAAGAAAGATTTTTAAGAAGGGAAGGTATACCTCCTTGGTTAGGTAAGCGTTGAGAAGGACAATAGCTGTGTTGAAGACAAAGAGGAAGGCCTTCATTTGGTACGGCTCCCTGTCCTTCATGTAACCGGGGGCAACCCGCACAAACAACAGGTAGAGCGTTGCCATGACGATGGTGGGGAACGGGGACTGCATCCACATCCAGTCTTTGACACGGGGATCTGAAAAAAGAGAGAGGAATGTTTATTGAGTCGACAAGAATGTTATAATGGAGGAAAAAGGACAATTTGTGGGCATATCAGAGGTGCTATATATTCCATACTGCCCAAGTGACTGTGCTGCATCTCTCTCGTGATAATGAAGGCTTTCCCAGATATAGACAACCCTAATATCAGGAGATTTCATAAAAATTTCTGTGCCTATGCTGTTTCATGGTGAATGGAGAGTTACTCTTGTGAGATGTGGTCAGAGACAAAATATGAATTGACAGTTGGAAAAAACTGCGCAGCTGTCATTACAGTGGAGGCCTACAGATAGAATGGGAGAGGTTATTTCTAGTGTAAACTCCCACTTATGATGGTATCATAATTCAGCCGTGAAATGAGGCCACAAAACATGCTCTGTTTATACTAGAGTATATATTACAGCTTCTGCAATATTATATCTGCAGACCACGTGGCTATGATACGCCTCTAAGATACACTGTATAATATTATGCGGTATAATTATACTACAAGTCTATAATTGCATAGTT